GAGAGAGAGAGAGAGAGAGAGAGAGAGAGAGAGAGAGTGTGTGTGTGTGTGTGTGTGTGTGTGTGTGTGTGTGTGTGTGTGTGTGTGTGTGTGTGTAGCAGGGCAGTCATCCCACTCCAGTTAGGTGTCGTTGCACCCAATTAGGGCACAGCTGGCCCTGTTAAAAGGGCAGGTGGAGAGAGGAGACTCCTGCTCCAGCTGGGGAGCAGAGAGAACCAGGCTGCCTGGGAAAGTAAGCAGGGTACCTGAGACAGAGCAAGTGTACAGGACCTTTGGTCCAATGGGGAGCCTAACTCTCAGGGATGGGTTGGAAGATCTTTGGCCCACTGAGACCCCCATAAGACATGGATGCTGTTCTTGAGCTGAAGCTGTGAAGAATTTACGACCACAGGAAATACCTGTGTGGGGTTTGAAGGACTAATCACCATCCAAAGCTTTTGTTGGAGTTAGGGGGTCATCTCTGGTCAGCTTATTAGCATGCATGTAGGGGATTTTTATTGTTAATTTTTTTCTGTAATGCTTTCCCCTTAAGAATAAATGTGCTTGCTTAGAAAGAACTAAGTGTGGTAATTAACTGTGGCAATTACACTGTGTGCTGTCTCTGATTAGAGAAGTGATTCAGGCCGGCTTAGGAAATCTGTCTTTTGCTGCACAGTACAGTATGGAGACTGTGCAGCCTGGAAATGCCCTGGTCAGGAGGGACAGAGTCATGTCTCCACTTAAGAGAAGTGACATCTGAGGAGCCTAGAGCGGGTGCCCTTGTGGGACTATAGAGGGGTAATACAGGTGCAGTTGCCTTGAAATGTGACATTCAGGTCAATTAAAAAAAAATAAACTATGAACATGATATTCCATTTTCAATTCTCATAACTTTTAGACAGCTGAACATTTCCCTCTAGCCTAGCTTATTCCTTAAAGATGTATAAAACAAGCCAATTTGATGTTTTTACCATGAGCTGTTGAATTAACTTTGCACAAGAATTTGGACAGACACATATGGGAAAGGGAGTATTTTCTGCACATAAGCTTAATTATAAAACAAACAAAACAAACTAATCAATCTTGCTCAAAACTTCTGAAAAAAAAATCACTTCTAAACTGGAAAGCATAGAAAATCCCCCTCATCAGCCAAGTCATGAATTAGTCTGACAAAATTAGGAGCAATTGGGAAAAAAAGAGAGGAGGATGAGAAAATAAGCTGAATGTCAAACTTAATTATAGATACACTATATTCACTACAATTTAGAACATTATTATATTGTATGGGTGAAATCCTAGGCCCACTAAAGTCAATAACAGTTTTACCATTGACTTCAGTGGGGCCAAAATTTCACCCTTTATCCACAAAGGAAAACATTAATAAAAACATTAATTCAGTTAAGACTATTAACATTAGGAGTAAAACAGAAACTGGACATCTTTTCTGAGGCAAATGTTCTCCCTCTCACCTCTACTTATAGTTTAAGTGCATAACTGTGCCTCATAATAATCTTTGAAGCATACTTTATGATTATGACTATATTTCAGACAGAAAATTAAATCTACCCATGACACCTCCAAACTTTGAGTAATAAATCTGCATAATATGGAATGAGTATTGTGTGGGAAAGTTTCACACACACTGTACATTATTTAGAATAATATATGGCAGAAATTAAGTTGGCCGATTATCAAAAATAATTCTCAAACTCTTAAATTCTTGATACACTTGGAAGTAAAAAACAAAATAGATTTTAGCTATGAGGATGCTCAATGGAATAAAAATAAAAAACAAGTCTTGCACATGCATAAGGAGGTTGTCATGTTATGTGTAAACAGGTGGTCAGGTACATCCTTCAGCAGAATGTGGTCACCTGCCATGAATTATGCAAGCTCATGCACACAGTCAATACAGTATATACAGCAGATTTCACAATGTCATGCACACAACAATGGTGAACCAGATAATCCTACCACAAAGTGTGCAGGCGCTCTCCCCCACCCCGTGAGCCACTGCTAGCTCTGGAGCTGTTGCTGTGGAGCTTGGTTACCCATTTTCATGACATGGGCGGTGTCCTTTGGAGAATCTTGCTCCTGTGGCCGTAAGTATCCTTATTTTTATAATATTTTAATCAGGTCTGTTACTAAATGTAAAGCAGAGTTGGGCAGGAAGTTTTTAGACATAGGATTTGTAATAATGGAATGTCATTTCATATCATATCAGTCACAGTGTCCTTATAGTAATAATTCTGCCAATATCACAGTTGTAAAGAAAATAAACAAGTGAATGTTCTTGGAACTTTCAGGCCCAGAACACTTCCTGCCAGGCTGTGGTGCTCCACAGGGAGAGAAGATCAGAAGCGGTTAGGAGATACAATGAAATTCCAGGCTCTCAAGGGACCTGAAGCTGACTATATTTCAACTGACAAATGGACCATTGTGAATTCTGACATAGCAAATGTATTATACTACATTTAATATATAAATTAGCCTATTTTATAGAATATTTACAAATTGTTAATTTTCATGTAATATAAAAATTACTTATATTTGTATATAGTACATTTTTTTTTCTGAAGAATCCCAAAGTGCTTTACACTATACAAAAATTACTTCACCGCTAAATTGGAGTGTAACTGCACATTGCAGTTTAGGACAGGATGTGAAGAATAATATTATATCCAATTAAAACTGCAAGGGGAACTGTAAGTAGGCAGAGCTGTTACCAGATTTAGGACTAGGCCTGGCCTTGGCCTAGGGTTAGCACTTGTACTCTTGTAAACAAATCTTAAATATCTCAGTGTAAAGTCTCATTTGTAAAATTTCATCTCTAGTAGTATCTCCACTAAGATTATTCTGGAAATAAATATATGAATCACTCTTAACCTGAGCTGCACAACACTGATAACTTCAGTGGGAGTCTAGAGTATTCTGCCCTCTTCTTGTACTGTATCAAAAGAATTGACTATTATATTTTGTGATCTATAAAAAGGGCATGGCTTTCAGCAGTCAAATAAAAAAAAAATGTGAGCCAGGGCAAATGAGACTCAAAGAATTTAAACCAAATCACTTTATTGTATTGGCTTATATGACTGCTTTATCATTTTGTCCCGCAATTGTACATACACATTATCTGTGTGATACTGACATAGCAAATCATTTGTTTCTAAACACCAAACTGAAAATAAAAATTTACTACTCTGGATTTATCCAATTACCACTTGTGTGTCTTTATTATACAAATATACTTAGAAAGTGAAAACTCAGTTTTGTTCAGTGTGATTTACCATCTTTTTGCAGGAAATGTGATGCATAAGGAATCTAATTTTATACACAAGGGAATATTTTCAAAATGCTGGTGGGGTTTTTACCACATGTATCCTAGGTTAAACCTGGTTCAACTCTCAAATTTCTCCTTACACAAGCAAAGATATAGCTAGATTGGGAAAAAGCAGAAGATAGTTTGGTTTTGATTAGTTATATGAATTAATAGGTAACAATTTTTTTTTTAGTTCTGAGAGATTTTTATTTAAAATGTACATATTTAATGTAACAGAATGAGTTAAGTTTATTAAAAAGGAAACATTCAGAAAAATCAAAATCACTGCTATTTACGAAAGTTCAGTCTTTAACAGTTTTGTTCCATTAGTGTAATTTTATAGTATATGTATATAGGCAGGGTAAGTTAACAGATATTATTTCAACATTTGCACCTTGAAATTGCAGGTTTGTGTATTGTTTTTGAAGACTGCTTATGAACAGTGTCGCTCACCATCCTAGATGCAATTGGTGTTCCGCTCTATGGCAGGTTTCATCTGCATTTAGGGCTTGAGCCTGCTCCACTGAAGTTAATTGGAGTTTCGGCACTGACTTCAATGAAAGCAGGATAAAGTCCATATTACCTAATAAGATTTTTTTAAAATATTTATTTTTGTGGGCATATCACAACCATTTTTGAAACTGCCCATTGTTTTATCTACCAGGATCCCACCTCCATGTCAGGATGTGGTTATGAATTTCTGACATCTGTTAGACTGCTGAGCAGAGTACTTATGAGTCAAGCAAGTAAATGATATGCCTGGGAACTGTAAGCATTAAAAATCAGTATAAGGCCATAACTTAGTATTCAGCATTCACATAGTACAACACAGTATCCATTAAAAATCAACTTCTAATGTTGCTACAAGTTCAATGTTCTCATGTACAGTTTTTTTAACTGTATTAAAATTACTGCAACTGTTACTGATGTTAGCAACACTCCACTTACCTCATCAGGGTTGGCATTAAAGGTGAGACTGCCCTCATCCAGCTGCATATACAATCTTCTAAAAGAAAATCCTAGAGGTGGATTCTTATTGTATATAGAGCAGTGTCCCCAAGTGGATTTGCACAACCTACCAAAATAGGAATAAATCTAGTATGAAAATACTTGGCATATTGAACAATGGGGATAAAAAATATTGAATAGCTGCTCATTAATTGACAATCAGTCACCCTATGCACTAAATGAGGCATGGTCCTGTGAAAAGTTATATGGGATCATATAATTAATGACAGTATCATAATCCAAATGCACAAGGGAACTGAACAAAGATTGCACAGATGATGTTAATTCTGGCATTTCCTAACTTTTGAGTGCTTGACTTTACAACCTAAATAACATTCTTAACAATGTTTTGCATGTAATTGTATAATATACCTCAAGGGGAAAATGAGAAGAGGATTCAACTATATAGTGCACACTGCAGAGCTGATTTCTTTTCTCCTTCCTTTAGTCTTTATGCTATAAAATGTATACACTTTTATTTTAAGGGAATATCTGTGCTTAGTCTAAGATTTCTATGGAACCAGGACAAGACAACAGTAATTACTAGTCAGTAATGGACTTCATATTAGGTCATGTGAGGGGGCTTGCAAGTTTTGGTATTTATATATTTACACAGCATCATTGGGTGCTAGGAGTGCATCACTGCACCTTTTCACTGTAAAGTGTGAAATTGCCAGATGTTTAATTCTTGTGTCCAGGCGTGGTGGTGGTTGTTGGTCCCTTACTTCTTCCTGGCCAGAGGAAGATAAGATGGCAAACTGTTTTTAACAGCTAAAACAAGTTTTAAAAACACACACACAACACAAAACAAACGAAACCCAGAATGGAAAGGAAAGGTAGAAGGAGCTCATTGGCTGAAGCAAAGTAGAATGGACCATGGCACTATAAACCTGATCCCCAGCCTATAGAAGCTCAGTCCAGGTCAGGACTCAGTACTGGCCAGAGCCTGCTTGCAGTTTCAACTAGATGTTCATTTAATTTGAAACTGGGTCTTATGAAAGGATGACTCTTATCTGAACTTTGTAAATCAATTTTCATAGCGTTTTAAATTTAAGTTCTCTATTTTTGATGGAGACAATGGATTCCTGACTTTTCTTCTCCTTACTGATTAAATAAGTCTACAATCCACATCACCTTTACTACCACTGCAGTATGACACTTCTGCTTTACTGCATCAATCCTTTCTCTTTGTTGATGCTTTCCCATTTAGATTCTATATGCTGGACTTAGACCCACTGTAACATTCTGCACAACAAAGGTTAACATTTCTGCTGTCAGGCACATAGTGGGCCATGAAAAGCACTTGTGGAGACACCAGTGTGCTAGAGGGCTTGTCTTCATTTCAGTGCTAATGTGAGCATAGATAACTCAAGCTAGCTCCTTTCTAGCTTGAGTGAAAATGACAAAACTGCAAACAACACTTGAGCAGCACAGACTAGCTGAGTTACCTCTACATTATCAACTCCAGCATCACAACCACTTGAGCTTCAACCACATCTGTTGATGGGCCAGCTAGCTCGAATTTAAAGTACCACTGAACTTGAACAATAATATTTTATGTGTGCAGGGGGGGAGCTGGGTTACGGGCAAACCTTGATTTACACTGCAGTGAAGACAAGCCATTAGTCTTCTTTCTAGAAGTGATACCACAAACAACAGCATGTTTATAATTTTCACACAGATCTGGATTTGCACTGGGTTCAAATTTTACCCCTGTCAAGTCTGAATTGACCTGGGTAATATTTGTTTGCAAAAAGACAAATAGGAAATCCTTAAAATGTAAAAAACAGTTCATTAGCATGAGTTAAACAGTAACTTTTCACATTTGAAACATTGTTCAAAAGGGTAAACAGTGTGACAACCCACAATCAATCTAGTAATCCTCTTTATTCCATGCAGGTGACCTCACATTAACTTACCCTTGCCAGAGAAGCTCATCATTAGCAAGATCCTGCCAGACACAAGAAGCCAGGCAGAGGTCAGTTGCATTCAGATATGACAAAATGGTAAAACTAAGCTCAGGGGGCAGCATTTCCAAGTTAATGAATCCTTCTTGTTCTTTAGATTTTCTTGCTTTCAACAGATGGTAGATGTCAATTCCTCCTTGGGCTTGTTTACGATGGTTTGTGTTTGAAATGCTGTTAGTAGCTAATCTTCTACCATGCTCTCTGGTGAGATAGCCTTGCCCACTGTATCCTTGGTGTTGCAGCTGCTGGTTCCTAGCCACTCTCCACAGCCCCTGACCCATCTGCGAGTCTGTGGGTCATAAAATCCAAATGAAAGGTTATTTAGAAAAAACATCAGTGGGCATTTTTATAGCTGCTAAGGAAATCAGCTTATAAATTTAGAGTTGCATTGGCAATTTATGAAAAGTTTTGGGAAATATCTAGTAGGTACTGAAAAGCTGAATAAAAACAAAGGTAGAATTGACTTTCAAATAGTAAGAGAAGAGTAATCTTGTAAATTACTGTAAATTATTGGAAATGCCATATGTTTATCCTCTGTCCCCAGTAAAATGAACAGCTATAGAGAACAAAAAAAAAAAAATCAATGAAAACTTAAAAAATAAAATTTGCCAAACATTATTGATGCTCTGGACAGAATTGCAAAATTCAGGGCCTGATTCTGTAAATAATACGGAGCACAATGTAAGTTGCTCCATTCAAGTCAACGGGACTTGCAAGAGGGATCACAATGTTTGGGACTAGTGTTTTCAGAATTATTTGTAAAATTAACTCAAATGGCCTGTCTGGAAACAATGTAATGCAGACTGAGACTATAATCAAGAGGTAATGATAAATGGCATGTAGGGTAGTGTGTAATAAAGGCAGGAATTGGTATTAAGATAAAACCTAACAACTTTGGAATTGATTCTAATTTAGGAAGATTAGCAATTATTGGCGAAGACAAAGAAATAATACGAAGATCTACTGCTATTTATTTATTTAGACACGTGTCTTAGTCTTCAAAATGCTTCAAAAACAGAAGGTGGATTCATGTTAGCTCTCATGGTTATAAACACAAAAACTTAATTTTATGTGTGTTGTAAACAAAATCCGATTACAACTGAGTCCAAGAACTACGTTTTTTATAGAAATGCCAAATACTATCAGATTTGTGATTAAAATCAAGTGCTGACAACTCTGCAACATATTTGTAATGTGATAAGGCTATAAAAAGACCAATCTTGAGCTGCATTTAAAGAAGCATTGCTACACAAATTAGGGAGGTAATAGTTCTTCTCAGTGTAGCTCAGGTGTGACTGCACCTGGATTCGTGTGTTTGATTCTGGGCATTCTACTTAAAATATATTGAATGGGAGTGAGTTCACAGAAAAACAATTATCAGATGGCTAGGCTGGAGAGTCTGAAGAAACCTAGAAGAGCTAATCAATGTGAAAAAAACCTTGAAGAACTAAGGAATGATTAAGATGAGAAACATGGTAAAGGTCTACAAATATCTGAAGGATGTATTCCCTATGGATAGTGAAATTATTTGATGATGAAAGGGGGTATAGCTAGAAGTAATGGGATGAAGCTAAGAAAAATGTAGGCTGTATTTTTAGAAACATCCTGACTGTAAGATCTGTTATGATGTGGAACAGTTTTCCAAGAAAATGATAGAAGCCCCTTTGCTTAGAAAACTTAAAAATCAGAGTAGGCTGAACACTAGAAAATGTCATTTTCTGTTTTCCTTCACTCTCCCAGCTAACACAAGTTATTTTCTTATTTTCTTTTTTTAAAGATCGCAATATATTCTTCCATGGCAAGTTTTAAATATCATGAGATTTAGAAAGGGTGGCTTGAGGACTCCATTTTTTTAATGTGGAATTTATGTTCCAGTACTAAAGAGAATCTTAATTACAACACAAGACGTTGGTCAAAAGGCATCCAGGCCTTTCTTTTTATCACAACCAAAGTTGTACTAGGCTGTGCCCTCTTTTTACCAGCATCTCAGATGTACAGCAGCTGTGTATGTGACTTCTGTTCTTACTTATTGCTAGTTAGTTATGCTGTAGAGTATAGTAAATGCAGCAGATTCTGAAATTTAATTAGGGTTACCATACGTCCTCTTTTTCCCGG